CAGGTTACATGATCATACAGCATAAACTAATAATATATTTTAAGCAAAGTGAAACTTAAGGCAAATAGCAACTGTCAGCAAGTCCATGATGGAAAAGTCCCAAGAGTTCTTAAGTCCATGGTAGGAAGTCTCAAAGTTCATAAGTCCATAGACAGTAACATCTGAGGGTCTGGTGGTTGTGGTTTAGGAGCTTCTGCTTTTCCAAGGCACAGAAGGTGAGCTAGGCATTGTTGGGTTACTGATTTTAGCAGTTCCCCTTTTGCTGTTCAGCTAACAAGCAGCTTTACAGCCTTTTTCTCAGCACACAGGACTTGGGGGTCTTTAACCACCTGTCATTCTCCACCTGCAGTCAACCTAGGGTCTCAGTATTCTGAGACAGCTCTCAACAGTGGGATATAAAACTAAAAGCAACAAATGAACAAGACAAACAAACAAAAACTCATATACACAGAAAACAGTTTAATGGTTACTAGAAGGTAAGGGGCATGGTAAAAGATGGAAAAGGGGACAAATATATGGTGATGGAAGAACTGACTCTGGGTGGTGAGCACGCAATGCAATACAGAGATGATGTGTTATAGAGATATGCACTTGAAGCCTATATAATTTTACTAACCAATGTCACCCTCATAAATTTAATTTTTAAAATTATCTTGCCTTTTGTCTCAAAGGAGTTAAATAGACTCTTCCCTATTGCAATCATTTCTCTCCCTTATTGCAATTAACTTGAATAAAATTTATTCTTGGCCTCTTTAACTGGTCGAGTGCATCTTTTCTTTTGCATAACATGCCTTTTAACATTGTAAAGTAGAAAAATAGAATCATGAATAATAATCTCTTGTTTATAACTTTTGCACATTATTATACTTGTGAAATCCTCACATGTTCTTGGATGCATCAATAGTTTTGTTTATCTTCATCCATATATAGCTTTTCATTTCATGCATATGACTAATTTTATTTATTCATTCTGATGTTGATTGACACTTAGGCTGTTTCCAGTTTGGTGTCATCACAAATAATGCTATGAGCAGTATTGTGCATTTGTTTCAGTGTAAATCTGTTTATACCTCTTAGTGAAAGGGCTGTATTATAGGGTATGTGTATATTAAGTATTAGTTCTCAAACTTGTACTACTTTATGTTTCTGAAGACAATGTATGAGCATTCTAATTACTCATTTTCTTTCACACTACTGGTATTATTAATCTTTTTAGTTTTTTTAACCATTTTATTGAATATTTAGTGGTACTTTTCTGTAATTTCCATTTAAAGTTCTCTGCTGATTATTGATGTTTGATCACCTTTTATATACTCGTACCTTGTCCATTTGTATGTATAATTGACAATGAACCATTTCTTTTAAAAGAGGCCTTTCCCATAGTGCTCTGCAGTGTCATCTTTGTCATTAAAAGCATTACTATATATATATTAGTCTGTCTCTGAATACTCTCTTCTATTATCTTTGACAGTTTGGCTGAATTCATCCCAGAACCAGTCTTGACATCCAGCCATGTAAGACCTCAGTGTGGTGCTTCATCAGGTTTGTTCTGGTTTTTCTAGTCCTTTACATTGTCATATGAAATTTATAATCTGCTTTAAAATGTCCATTAAAAATAGTTGGGATTTTTATTTTGTTTACATTGTAAAGAACTGATATCTTTATGATACAGAGACTTTCAATCTTTGAACATAATATGGCCTTCCATTTATATAGGGCTTTTTGTTCTATTTTGTTTTGTTTTCTCTGAATAATGTTCTAGAGCTTTCAGGGTATTTTGTTAATTTTTCCTAAATATTTGGTGTTTTTGAGGCACTGATAAAGGATGTGTTTTATAATTTCATTTTTCAGTGGTATTTCAGTTATATAGAAATCAAATTGACTTTTGTACATTGACTTTGAATCCAATAATTACCTATTTCTCTTATTTCTAATATTTCTCTGTAAATTATTTCAAATTTTCTCTGCATACAGTCTTTTCATCCACGAATCATGACAGTATTGATTCTTCCTTTCCAATCCTTGTTTGTTGTTGATGTTGCTGTCTTATTGAACTGGCCAAGAACTTTCCAAACAGAACAGCGGTGCTAAAACTGAGCAGCCAACACAACAGCTGCTTATAAAGGAAGCAGCTGGTGTAATGAAATAAACACTGAAGGTCTTATAGAGGTTTTGTTTCATGTTGAATCACTGTGGATACCCACTATTATATTGCTGACAATAGTAAATTGCAAAATCTTCAGGCTCCAGGTTGCTGATTGTAAGAGTAAAGTCTGTCCCAGATCCACTGCCACTGAATCTGGCTGGGATGCCGCTGGCCCTTGTGGTCGCACTATAGATGAGGAGTCTGGGGGCCTGCCCAGGTTTCTGCTGGTACCAGGCTAAGTTGCTACCAACACTCTGGCTGGCCCTGCAGGTGAGAGTGGCTCTTTCACCCGGTGACAAAGATAGGGAGGTTGGAGACTGAGTCATCACGATTTCTCCGGTGGTATCTGGGGTTGGAAATAAAACACAAAAGTCACCTGTGTAACTGAGATCACACCCATTGTCTTCCCAGCAGAGCCAGAGTGTTGATCTACATTGAGCTTTCATTATTATATTTATTGAGCAAATATGTCAGGTCACAGGACCCAACATGGACAAAGTTCTCGCTGAAATACAGAACCATCCCATGTTCCTCTCACCTGGGAGCCAGAGTAACAGGAGGCAGAGAAGCTGAGCTGGGGCTTCCATGGTCCACTCTGTGCCCTAGCTGAGGCAGATCTCCCCAGAGCACTGACCCAGGCACTGATATGTGCTCTGGTCGGTAGGGTGGTCTGGGAGGAGCATGCAAAGCAGTGGGGGAGGGGCGAACTGGGCTTCCAGCTGCTGAGGCCTTTTGCCTTCTCTTTTCTACACTTGAGCAACCCACCCCCAGGTGGTCATGTCAGAAAAGCCTGTTAGCTCAACCTGAGGGATGACTTTTTGTCTCCAGTCATAGAATTTACTTCTGTATCCTCCACCCTCACTATTGACCTAGATTCAGACAGATGGTGTTTGGCACAAGCCTGTTGGGAACAAAATAGATGCCTGTGATTCCTGTTTCTCTTTCTCTCTTTCTCTTTTTTTTTCTTTAAATTGGGGAACAGTATGTTTTTCCAGGACCCGTCAGCTCCAAGTCAAGTAGTTGTTTCAATCTAGTTGTGGAGGGTGCAGCTCAGTGAACCATGTGGGGATTGAACCAGCAACCTTGGTGTTATGAGCACTGTGCTCTAACCAACAGAGCTAACCGGCTGCCCCTCCTGTTTCTCTTTTTATCCCTAATGTGCTTACTCCTCTCCCTTGGTGCATCACTGCATCAGACTGGATTAAAGAGCTGATCAGAAATTTTTCTTCCTGACACACTTTTCCTGCTTAGTGATCTTAGTAGAGTTGTAAAATCATTTGGAAAAACAGCTACTTATGATAAAAACCCTCAGCAAGCCAGCAGTAATGAAAAAATATCTTATTCTGATAAAGTTTTGTCAATATCTTACAGCAAACATCATACTCAGTGATAAAGTATGGAACATTTTACTCCTCATAGTGTAAAAAAGACTAAAATTTCCATTCTCACCACTTCTACCAGAATTAATATATCAGGTGAAACTAAGGGTCCTATGACTTTGATTAAATTTAGTTTTAAATCCTAACTCTAGAAATTCCCTCTCTCTCTCTCTCTCTCTCCCTCTCTCTCTCTCTCTCTCTCTCTCTCTCTCTCTCTCTCTCTCTCTATCTATCTATCTGTCTCATTTCTCAGAGGCCTAGCTTTTCCCCCAGATAATCAGCAACCCCCAAGGCAGCAGAAGACAGTAACTGGACCTGACTAATGGTCGCACAGTCCAGACTTCTGCCAGACTAAAAATAACATCTTGACCTAAATTATGTTTTGGTTCCTAAGCCCTAAGGTGGAATGACCACCTGGCTACTTTCCCATGAAACCAGACAGAAGGATACCAGAAAAGACCTCAGAGCTGTCCTCAAGATCTGAAGAAATTATTTATTAACCTTACCTCACCCCTGACCAATCAGCTTCCAACACAGCCCCAAACCCTAACTCACAGTGTCTTGAAATTTTGCCCTGTATAATCTGTAACCTGCATACCATCAGGGGGTTGGGTACTTAGAAGCATAAGCTCCCTGCCTTCGAATTGACCAATTCAACATAAACTTGTCCTCACCGGGGAGTTGCAGGGGAGGTTTCAGCAGTGAGATGCCCAACGTAAAAAAGGCACGAGGAGATCACATGAGGAGGAACCAGCAGTTTTATTCAGCAACAGCTATCTTATATAGTGCCTTAAGGGAGGGATGCTTTTGGGCAGGGAAAGCAGTTAGCACATGCTCCCTCCTGCAACTGCAAGTCATGCTTACATAAGTTACATAAGGGCTTATGTAACTGCAGCCAAGGTGCCTGCGCAGCAAGCTCCGCGGTCATGTCCCAAACACCAGCCTGTACAAACCTGGACATGCCCGGGCCCCGTCAGTCCACTCCCTGCAGGATGGTGTCCCAGGACTTGACCAAGAGAGTGTGTCCCTGTGAGCAGAGGCAGCAACAGCAATACATGGAGCAACAGATGACCATGAGGCTATTGGCGATACCTGCCAGAATGAGATCTGCCCACCTCCAAGAAGGGCCTAGGGAGTTCCATCAACGTTTTAAGGGATCATTTTGTAGGGTTTGGATTGCTGAGACTTCGGCATCCATCTCCTGTAAGGCTTTCTGTACCTTTTGTTGATGGTCCGAAATGGAAACACAGCATTCAACATGTAACAGAGCATATGTCCCCCCCTGCATGGCCATTAGCAGGTCTAGAGCCATCCTGTTCTGCATCACCACTTTTCTCATTTGGGTTGTCTTGTCAAGAAAAATGGCTAAAGACACTCGCGTGACGTTCAACATCTGTGTGACATGTTGGGCCAAGGCTTCTACTTGTAGTTCCACATGTATCAAGCCACCCCCTGAAAAGAGGATGGCTAAAGGGTAAATCCACAGGCAACCCATTTTTCTCGGTGCCAACGATGGTAAACAGGGTCCCAGTTGGCTGGTCTTTGGGGCAATGTGGGTAGGAGATGACCTTGAATAAAGGGGCACCCCCATGTACATTAGCCCATCCACTGGGCCTGTAGGTATGGCCACCCATATAGACCACAGACCCAGAGAGCATCGCCTGGGAGGAAGTCAGTGGGTTTCGTTCCCACTACACGTTGCCCATCCCACCAGCAGATAGGGTCTGTCACCACAGTAATGTTTAGACAGTTTCTTGGGAAACCAGCCCACCATGTGATTTAGGACCACGGGGTATCATTGCTCAATACACAGAGGGGCACAGTAAGACAATTCTACATGAATCCCCACCAACCATCCCCAGGCATTGTCCACAAGCTGGCTGAAGAGAGGAGGGGCACTGTGGTGGTGTTTCCATAAGGTGGCTTCAACAGCACGATGGCGAGCATTTCCCTTCGGACTGTCTCGGTCCCAACGCTGGAGGTCTGTCCAGTTGGCACCGGTGGCAGGGGCAACTCACCATGGCAGTCTTTCAGTGGTTTCTGATGGCAATTCCATGCACACCCAGCAACGTGAGGCGTTGTGCACCCGGGCAAAGGTGTGCACCCAGGATAGCATGCTGTTTCCTGTGGGTAACCTAGGCAATATGACAGAGCAGATAGAGAAACCATCATAGGTAAGTCACGGCCATCTGGCAAAATACAGGCTACATGCTCATCTTGCAATAGCACCATAGCTGGTATGGGAGCGGTTCCTGGTGCTACCACACCTGCACTCCGTGGGTCATCGGCAAAGGGATGGGGGTTAGGTTCACCATGTACAGGGGTATGGGCCAAGGGTGCAGTGTGGGGATCCCTCATAGGAGAGACCCGCTTGCCTTGGCTGGTAAAGTCACTCGTACCATGAAGAGCCAGTGTCCGAGCCAGGGAGCTACCTCTAGGCTCTTCTCTAAGCCTTGTTCCCAGGGCTCAAGCATGGCAATCCAAGACTCCTGGGTGATGTGAGCCTGCCAGGGCCATGTCCACTCCTGTGTCCAACCGGGGACATCCATAGACAGAGCGGGTAAGATTATCATCCCCTCTTTCAGCTTGGGCTGTACCTCAGGGTCCCCAGTTCCCATGACCCATAGGAGTTGCAGGATCCCCTCAGTTACCTTGTCCAAGGAGGCCTTACCAGTCTCGTTCACTGCTCCAAACATCCTCTCAAAGGTCTCTTCCCCATAGTGGGTGGTGGCCAATTAACCAGTCTTAGGTTGCCCACCGGGCAAGCCATAGCATTAGGCCTCAAAACACAGCCCAGCTATCAGTGCAAACACGTACTGGGCCAGGCTCCTCCGTGAGGACCATCTGGACCACCCGTAACTCAGCCCCTGCTGGCTGGAGTGTCCAGTACCTGTGTCATACAAGAAGGTGTCAGTGAGGGGCTGTAGGGCTACAGCCTCCCAGGTGGGGGCTTCCCTCAGCAAGACCCATCTGTGTACCAAGCTTCTGCCAGCACTGCGGGCTTGCCTTCCTCAAAAGGGCTAGGAGTCTCCCCAGTTTCCATGGGGTCTTCTGTTCATTTGGAATGAAAAGTGTTGGACCCCAAAACAATGTGTAGCTCCTGGGTGAACGGACTACTAGAGAACTGGGCCTGTTGCTCTAAATAGGCGCCCCACTTTGTTAACATTGGCATTTGTGCCATGCCGGTCCTCAGCTGTGTTGTCCAAGACTGAAGCCAGTCTTCCACTGAGTAAGTCATTTGCACCATGACCGGGTGCAGACCTGTGATGCTGTCACAGGCCAACAGGGCAGTGTACACTGTAGTTAATTGTTCCTCCACCAGGGAGTACCATTCTTCAGCCCCCTTCCAGAGCTGGGACCAAAACCCAGTGGGGGTTTTTTGCACACCCTGTTTCTGCAACAGACCCCAACTGAACTCTGAGTCCTCTACCTGGACAGTCAGGAGAAATGGCAGGGCTGGGTCAATTACTCTCAGGATCTGAGCCTGTGCTACCACATGTTTTGTCACCCCAAATGCCTGCTTGGCTTCTGGGGACCAATTCCAGGGCTCTCCTTTACAGACCAACCTGTGTAAGGGTTGCATGAGCATGGCCAAATGCAGTATGAAGGTTCGCCAGAACCCCAGTAGCCCCAGATAGGTCTGTAACTGCCTCACTGTTTCCAGTCAGGGGTATGCTTGGATCTTACCTATAACCCCCTCAGGGATTACTTTTGTCTTACCTGACCAAATAACTCTCAAGAACCTGACAGAGTCACCAGGACCCTGGACCTTGTCCTCATTGATGGCCCACCCCCAACCCGTTAGGGCATCTCAGAGACTGCGGGCGGCAGTTTCCAAATTTGCAAGAGAATCAGAAGTTAACATTATGTCATCTATATAGTGAAATAAGCACACGGTAAGGGGCTTGGTTCAGGTGGCTAAGTCTTGTGCTACCAGCCGTGGCATAGCGTTGGGCTGTGTAGATAGCCTTGCGGCAACACTTGGAAGGTCCATTGTCTGCCTTCCCAGGTGAAAGCGAACTGCTCTTGGCTGGCAGTGTCAATGTTGATGGAGAAAAGGGCATTGGCCAAGTCCACTACATAGTGGAACCGTCCTAACTCTTGAGAGAGGCGATCCATCCGTTCCATGATGTTTGGTACAGCGGCATGCAACGGGGGTGGGGGGGAGGGGGCTACTTTGTTTAGTTCCTGGTAATCTACTGACATTCTCCAAGAACCGTCTGGTTTCTGCACTGGCCAGACTGGAGAATTGAATGGGCTATGGGTAAACCGTATGACTCCTGCCTCTTCTAGCTTTAAGATGGTGTGCCCGATCTCCTCATGCCCCTGGGATGTTAACCACCCAGATGGCCTGTGGCAGGTGGAGGGGTGTGTGCTGGGGGTGTCCTCTTACCACTGTCTTCACCACGCATACTCATAATCAGAATTCCCCTATGGTTGTCATGACAGTCAGCCCCCAGAACACGTCTACCCCGAGGATGTAGTCAGCAATCTAAGAGGCGTAGACCTCACAGGCTCTAGGGGGAAGGCACCCAATGCCTAGAGTAATGGAGACCCTGAGCACCGTGATGTGCCAGCCTCCATATCCCTCGATAGTGGCTTTCGGGCCCTGGAAACAGTCTGAATTGTGGTAGATGAGGGTGCTATCTGCCCCGGTGTTTAAAAGGGCCAGCACCTGCTGGACATTCCGGGAGGACCAATATATGGTGAGCTCAACTTGCAGCCTCAGGTAATCCGGCTCCCCCATTAACTAGGTGCCCCGGCCCACCCCCTAGTCTGAGAGAAAGTCAGTTAGGCACAGCTTCCGGCCAACCCCCTTCTGTCCCTTCAGGGGTAGGGTGGTGAACTTCTGTTCAGGCCATACCTTCCACCAGAGGACTAACAGGACCTCAAAGGGCTGGCTGTCCAATTTCTCCTCAGTCAGTCCAGCAGCCACCAAATCAAACCACATTTGCTGGCGGCTCACCCTCATGGCGTCCCCCTCGCTCTGGCTCTTGGGCATGGCTTTTGTAGCCCATTTAGGGGGGTGGGGGTGATTCATCCCCTTTCTGCTGGCTATATAACCTGCACCTGTGCAGGCTGGCCTTGCCAGCAGACTTCAACATCTCCTAGTCAAGCCAAAGCCCCTGTAACCTCATGGATGGGGCAGTCTTTATAGGGGGCTAACAAGGAGGACATGGTACCAAAGGTGCCTAGTGGGCCATTGGTGAGGATGAGGTCCTTCATATGGGCCATAAATACTTCTTCATCGGGGCTACTGTAGCGCAAGTCAAACATCATTTCCCGCATGCCCATTTCCCAGATGACCTGCACTTAGTCCAAGTAAGTAGTCCATTTACTCACATGTTGTGGCAAGGTCCCTGCCTTATTCCAGACAGTCCGGGCAGCCGCCATGAGCTAGTTCATGAGGGTCTGGTTACCAGTGTCGGGGTTAGACTGGGGCACATTTTGCAAGCATTGCCATAAGGAGGGCACTGTGGTGACACTGGTGAGCTGCACCATCTCGGAGGGGCTCAATTCTGTGTTATCAGCCCCATCATCCCACAAGCGCAAAAGCCAGGCGGGGACCGACTCACCCAAACGCTGTTTGCATTGCTTGGCTAGCTGTCACAACTTCATGGCCAAATACGTGGTGTAAGAGACGTGCCAGGTATATTGCCTTGGCCTGGTAGCCCCACCCCCTAGGGCTAGGGGCTCTTCGACCTCTACTCTCTGTCGCACCATGGGTTGGGCATGCCATACCAACCCCACTAGGCTGCTAGCCCCGGAGGACACCGCCGCCAGGCATTGCTCCAGGTCCTCTTCCCGACATTGTAACTGCTGCACCAGGCCTGTGTACTCTTGATTGTCACGACTAGCATGCCGTAAGACTGCTAGGAACATCCAGGCCACTCGGCCAGCTGCCTCCCGGTGTGCCAACAGGGCATTCGGCTCTAATGTCTCCAGGGCTTTCCGGACGTCCTCTGGTCGAGGGCGCACAGCATCCCAATCCTCCAGCGGAGTCCAGGTGAGGAGGTACACCACAACCGCCGTACCAAAAAGCTGTCAGGGGCCACATCCCTTCCACCCGGAGCTGCTCCTCCACTGGGACAGAAGGGGCACTCGCCTCATCTTGCTGACTACGCCAAGTGTCATCACTGGGGAAGGGGGGCGGGATTGCAAGAGAGGTTTCGGCGGTGAGATGCCCAATGTAAAAAAGGCACACAGAGCCAACATGAGGAGGAACCAGCAGCTTTATTCAGCAACAGCTATCTTATATAGTGGCTTAAGGGAGGGGTGCTTTTGGGCAGGGAAAGCAGTCAATGCATACTCCCTCCTGCAGCAGCAAGTCATGCTTACATAAGTGTTTATGTAACCGGAGCCAAGGTGCCTGTGCAGCAAGCTCTGCGGTCGTGTCCAGAACACCAGCCTGTACAAGCCTGGACATGCCCGGGCCCCATCAAAACTATTTTTTCCTTTCTATACTACAAACTCCTGTTTGTGCATATTTTTGGGCCAGTGTACACAGGCAGGAAGACTCAAGGATAAACATTGGGTTTCCAGTAACAGGTCCTAGCCAACACAATAAGGTCAAGAAAAAAAGAAAGGTATGAAATATGAAAAGGGAGAAACAAAATATCTTTTAAATTGTGTACAAAAATTCTTAATATACAACGAAACCACTAGAAATAATAACTTAGCACGGTCTCTGCTATGTCAATACATAAATCTGTATTGTGGATGAAAAGAAACTTATGTAAATAAAGATCTTCCATGTTCATAGAGTAGGAAACTCAATAGTTTTAGGATTTAAATTTTCCCAAACTTGACATATAAGCTCAATAAAATTCAATTAAAATCCCTTAAGAATATTCTGAAGTTGAAAGGGTAATTCCTGAATTTGCATGGAAATCCAAAGGACCTAGAATAGCCAAGCTTATATTAAAGAAGAAAATAATATAATACCAGATTTCCAGACTTATTATAAAACTACAGTGGTTAAGGCAGTTTGTATACCATAGGTTAAAAGACAGACAAAAAGACAAATGGAAAAGAACAAATTGTCAAGGAAAAGACCCACGCATACACAATCACTTGATTTCTAATAGAGGCACTAGAGTGGCATATAGTTTTTCGGTTGGTTTTTTTTTCTGTTTTTCTTCTTTTTATTAAATTTATTGGGGTGACATTGGTTAGTAAAATTATTTAGGTTTCAACTGTACAATTCTATAATACATCACCTATTTCTTGCATTGTGCAATAAATAATGAGCTATTTGATATGGAATGAAAATAAATGAGAAATAAAAATAAAATCTTGACCCACTTAACACCAGACAAAATTATGAATTATATGTAGACCATCATCTATGTGTGAGAGGTAAAGTAATGATGTTTCTAGAAGAAAGCATAGAAGAATATCTTTAGGTCCTCAAGTTAGGCAAAATTTTATTAAACAGAACACACACATAAACGTACAAAACAAACAGTAGGGAAAAAAAGTAAATTAGACTACTTTATAACAAAAATTTTATATTATATGTATATATAGACATATAAAAAGTTACTCAACACCAGTGGTCATCAGGGAAATGTAAGTTTTAAACATGGCATCACTTCAGATTTATCAATATAAATTTTTTTTAAAGTTTGACAATACCAAGTATTGGAAAAGATTTACAGCTACTGGAACTTTTATTATATGGTTGGTGTAGTGTACATGTGTTCACCTTTTTGAACTGTTTAGCAGTATGTACCAAAGCCCTGTCTATACCAATACTATGATTCGGCATTTTCATTCCTAGAAATATATCCAAGAGAAATGAGTTCATAAGTCCACAAAAGACATGTATAGGAATGTTCAAAATAGATCTTTATTAATAAAAGCTGAAAACTATTCTTTAATTAAATAATACATAAATTGTGGTACATTCATATAAAGGATAATTATTCTGTAGTAAAAGAAATAAATTGCTGCCACAGCAACATAGTTGAAGCTCAAAAATATGTTGATTGAAAGAAGCAAAATGCCAAAAAGTGCATTCTGTATGACTGNTTCATCACTGGATTTGGGTTGGAATCACCATTATCAAAACCAAATCATCTATCAAATAGTAGTTTTGCCATTTGAAATGGAAATGGAAAAATAGGTGTTCTGGAAGTTTCAACATAAATATCTACTCTTCCATCTGTAACCAAAGCTCTGAGAAGGAAAAGATAAGTGAGAGCTTCCAGGAGGAGTTATTGTTTTTGAACTGTTTAGCAGTATGTACCAAAGCCCTGGCTATACCGATACTATGATTCAGCATTTTCATTCCTAGAAATATATCCAAGAGAAATGAGTTCATAAGTCCACAAAAGACATGTATAGGAATGTTCAAAATAGATCTTTATTAATAAAAGCTGAAAACTATTCTTTAATTAAATAATACATAAATTGTGGTACATTCATATAAAGGATAATTATTCTGTAGTAAAAGAAATAAATTGCTGCCACAGCAACATAGTTGAAGCTCAAAAATATGTTGATTGAAAGAAGCAAAATGCCAAAAAGTGCATTCTGTATGACTGTATTAATATGAAGTGTAAGAACAGAAAAAAAAAACCAATCAATAATGATGGAAAACAGAACAATGGAGGCTTCTGGTGGTAACAGAAGAAACATGGAATTGACAGAGAAGGAATATAAAGAACTTTGGGGATGCTGGGACTGTATATATCTTGGTCTAGATAGTGATTACAGAGGAGTGTGTTCATGTTTATATTCACCAGCTGCACACTTTATACACACTTAATGTGTTTAGCTACAGTAATAGTTTGACAAAATAAATGAATTAAGTAATTAGCAGGAATTATAGAGTCAAAGTATCAGATTATATTTCCATCTTCTCAAGCACTGGTAGTTGAGCTCTGAGCAGCTCTGATTTCTCATCTCTAGAAAAATAATTGTGTGATTAATTGCACTAGCTTATTAAGTCTTCAGTACAGTATTCAATGTGTAGTAAGTCTTCAGGACTTCTGTACATTGCAATTGGCATTGTAGTTGGTGTTTCTGCTGCTATTGTCATGATTTCAGTGAATATGATTTTTTAAATATAGTTCCTTGCTTTTAATAAATACATCCTCTAGAGAAGAGATTCAAATGCTATGCTGAAGATGAATTCCTTTGTAGAATTCACCTAGAAATTTAAGTTTCAGAATTAATTGAGGTTTAGGGGTTTTGTGTTGTCAAGAAAGAAAGCTTTTATTAGAACTAATCAATGAATTTACTAAAGTCACAGGATGGAAAATCAATACACATAAATCTGCTGCTTTTCTCTACGCTAATAACTAATTATCAGGGGAAAAAATAAGAATACAATCCTAATTACAATTACATCAAAAAGAATAAAATACCCTGGAATAAATTTAACCAAAAAGGGGAAAAACTTACACAGTGCAGTTGACACCAAAAACAAACAAAAATAAACAAGTGGGAGTACATCAAACTAAAAAGCTTTTGCACAGCAAAGGAAACCACAAACAAAATGAAAAGACAACATACTGAATGAGAGAAATATTTGAAAATCGTGTATCTGATAAAGGGTTAATATCCAAAATCTATAAGGAACCCATACAACTCAATAACAAAAAACTATCTGGTTAAAAAAAGAGCAAGGTAGGGGCCGGCAGAGTGGCTCAGTTGGTAAGAGCGCGAGCGCTAAACAACAGGGCTGCTGGATCGATTCCCACATGCACCAGTAAGCTGCACCGTCTACAGCTAAGATTGTGAACAACAGCTCGACCTGGAGCTGGGCTGCTGTGAGTGGCCAGCAGCCAGTGTGAGCAGCAGGCAGCCAGCGAGAGCTGCAGTGAGCTACCGTGAGCCACCGTGAGTGGCTGTCTAATGGCTGGCAACCGACTGCCTCAGCCGGGAAGAGTGCAATGATATTACCAACATGGGCCAGTGAAGCAGCGTTCTCCGCAACTAGACTGAAGAACAAAAGGACAGCAACTTGGCTGTTCCCTTTCCCCAGTTCCCCAACACTGTTCCCTTGCCCCAATTCCCCAAATTAATTTTTTTTAAAAAAATGAGCACAGTGGGGAAAAAATGAGCAGAGGATCTGAAAAATATTTTTTTTCACAAAAGACATACAAATGGCCAACACATATATGAAAGATGCTCAATATCACTAATCACCAGAGAAATATAAATCAAAACTACAATGAGATATCAATTGTGGCTATTATCAAGAAGACAAGAAATACAAGTGTTGGTCAGGATATGGAGAAAAGGAAACCCTTGTGCACTGTTGATGGAAATGTAAATTGGTACAGCCACTGTGGAAAAAAATAGAGATTCCTTCAAAAATTAAAAATAGAACTACCATGTGATCCAGCAATTTCACTTCTGTGTACTTATCCAAAAAAATTAAAACACTAACTTGAAAAGATATCTACATCCCCGCGTTCACTGCAGCATTATTTACAGCAGCTAAGATAGGGAAACAACCTAACTGTCCACTGACAGATGAATTGATTTTAAAAACTGATTCACACACACACACACACACTACACACTACACACACAATAGAATATTATTCATCCATTAAAAATGAATCGCATCTTGCCTTTTACGAAAACATGGATGTACCTTGAGGGCATTATGCTAAGTGAAATAAGTCAGACAGAGAACGAAAAATATGGCATGATCTCACTTATGTGTGGAATTTAAAACAAAAAAACAAACTCATAGAAACAGAACAGATTGGTGGTTATTAAAGGTGGGGGTTTGGTAGTAGGAGAAATGGGTGAAGTGAGTTAAAAGGTACAAACTTCAAGTTATAAAATAAGTCATGGGGGTGTAACGTATGAGGTGTGATTTAAGAATACTACGAATGCTGCTGCTGAGTGCCATCCAAAGGAAAGGCAGGGATCTTCAATATGGGGAGCAGTGAACCTTAGTAACAGTGTGTGTGACAAGCTTCAACTTGTTTAGTGCAGTCAGTCGGGTGTGAGCTGCAGTTGAGAGAAGATGTGTTTTAAAGTGTGCCACAAACCACGGATCACGAGCAATGCATTAACATGAAATGGGCAAACTGTTTCATCCTCCATCATGACAATGCTCTATCACGCATTGTTTCTGGTACAGCAATTTCTGTCAAATAAAAACATTATGGTGTGTCCTCATTCACTTATTCACAGCATCTGACACTATGCGACTTCTGGCTCTTCCCCAAAGTCAAAATGACCAT